GAGATAAAAGATAAATGAAGTTTTGTTTGCATTTTATTAATGCGAACAGTTGCTAGAACAGCTTCTGGATTCTTCCTCTAAGTACATTTGGAGGAAATACACCAAATTATAGATTTAGCTGTACAACATCACAATAGATTACAATTGCTTCAATAAGAACGGTTCGTCATTCTTCTCTAATTAAACCAAAAACAACACACACTAGATTCTGCAACAGCTCAGACAACAACTTCAATGCAGTTCACAGCAAGAGACCAGAGGTCCCAGGGTTCATCCCTAGTCTGTGGTTCACTACAATTGGCCTTGGCACCACAAGTTAGAAAAGTTAGAAATTAGTGGAGAAAATTAGTTTTTCCTCTTGTGCATTTATTTGTGGATAACCATTAAGACGATGAATGGGTTTGTCCTCTACAATTGGACAGTCTGAGCACACTCACCTGTCTGGGCTCACACACAAGAATGCTCACTTGGATGAGGTCTGCAGGACACAGGCAATGGAACCACATTCATTACAACAATCTGCGCCTCACAAGGCAGGCAGAGAAGAGAGGGACCAATATGTCTTGCTGAGGAAAAATGACTTTTGTATCTGCTCTATAGATCAAATTTGAGTGATGGATAAACAGTAAGGTAATCTGAAGGGCACCTTTTACTCACAACTTACTGCTGGGAAAAATGTTTCCCAAGATCTATAATCTGTTTACCGTTTGTGTTATGATGTTGCAATTGTAATGTTATCTTACAAGTTAATCTGGTTCTATTCTTGTGCTCTGCAGCATTTTGATTATGAAGCCACCTAATGCTCAAGCAAAGTAAGAATATTGAAGAAAATAATGGCAGTAAAAAGAGAGTGACAAATATCAGGAATTGTAGAAGTATAATTTTACAAATTCAATTGAGTAGCTGAAAACAGTCAGGATAACAGACAGGTATTTAAATTGGCAGGTTGTGTGTAATGATATCTTGCAAAGATCTGTGTTAGGGCCTCAATTTTTTCTCGGCATTTATTAATGTCATAGATGACGACATAGAAAGCTACATCCAAATTTCACAAAGACAGTCACAATTTAAGCAGCACAGATGGAAGTGTTAAATTACAGAGAGCTATCAATAGATTAAGTGAACGTGCAAAATTGTGGCAAACATATTTCAATGTAGAATACAACGTGGTACTTTCTAAATGACAAACAGTGAAAAAAAAAAAAAGAGGATCCAAAGGAGCTGGAATTCAGGCTCAAGGATCATTCAATGTTATCAATACTGCCACAGAAAAATCATCAGAAAGGCTACTGGAATGCTGGCCTTCTGTCTAGGACTCGACTAAAAGCTGGGTAAAAGGAATATTTTATTTTTTAAAAAATCATCCATGGGACATGGATGTCGCTGAGTGGGCAAGCATTCAATGCCTGTTCCTAAGCTGCTCTGGAAAAGATGATCGTAAGCTGCCTTTTTGAACTGCTATAGTCCTTGGGATATAGAGATTTAGTGCTGGTAGGAAGAAATTTCCAGGAATTTGACCTACTGACACTGAAGGAACAATGATATGTTTCCAAGTCAGGATGATGTGCGAGTTGAAGGGGAACTTGCAAGGTGGTTGTGTTCCCATGTATCTGATCTTGACAAATTCCATTTGGTGTTCAAAGAATGGTCTCATCAAGAAGTTATGATAAGATTAATGCTAAGTGGGAAATTTTAAAGTTATGAAAATGTTCAAAATTCCTATGGAGTCATTTTCAAAAATAAACTGAAATTGTATTTCTTTGTCGTTTTAAATAGCTGTTACAAATTTGAACTGTACGTAATACTAACCTATACAGATGGACATCTTCAAAGGATTTTATGTTATTGATAGCAAAGACGCAGAGGAAGCCCTCGCCCGTTCGCATGTATTGATCTCTCATAGCGCTGTATTCCTCTTGACCTGCTGTGTCCAGAATATCTAATAAACAGGTTTCTCCATCAATAACCACCTGTTTTCTGTAGGAATCCTATGCAATGGAAAAGTGAAAGTACAGTGGTAATCAAATCAGTTGTACTTTGGATCACTTTCATTCTCTTCACCTTATGGAAGAAGTTAAACCAAACAGATAAGAATTGTTGAGAAATGTTAAACAAGCCCACATCCCTAATCATCTCAAGTCTGTTTTGTGCTATTTTTCAGGTATCCTTCCATGTAACTGCCTGACAGAAAAAAGGCACTGTAGATAAAAGATTAGGTAAAAGATTAGATAAGCAAATTATAATGTTTAGAAAGATAAAATATCCTTATACGCAGAAGTTAAAATTTCCAGGCTTTTTGGTTGAAGAAATTGTCAGCATTCAAGATTAGGTTTGCTAAGTTAAGTGGCATTTCTGTTTTGATTTGCAGTTATTTCTTTTAACTGAACTCACCTATTTCATCAAAACATTGACAAATGCCAAGATCCCATATTCTTGAACTTGCTTCCCCAAAGAAAAATATATAAACCAACTTATGCCTTGAGCTCCCTCTCTGACTTTAAATAAGGAGACCCTTAAAATATATCTCTTACTAAGATTTTGGTCACCCTAAGCTCTCCTGTTGGCTCAAATTCCATTTTCCCCACAAGTCTGAGAAATCACAGACTCTCAGAAGTGTTAAGGTGCAGAAGTAAGCTGTTCAGCCAGTGTCTATACTCTAAGTGAACATCATGACTTAGTGCCATTCTTCTGTCTTTTCACCATACCCTTGCACATTGGATGATTGTTTACGTGTCTTTTCTTGCCCGTTAATAGCTACTGAAGCTTTAATGTTTATTTATGTTTGAGGCATCTCATCTACCTCCTTTTCACAGTTTAAAAATCAAGCTCTGAATCAAGTCTTAAGCTACAAGCCATGAACCGCTTCACTGCTTTTGTTTTCAAAAAGGCAAAGGTCCAGCTCATTCTCTGAAACATTGTTTATTCTGACAGATAAAGTGGAGCAACTAAATTAAAATTAAAACAAGCCCATGAATAACAGTCTTTAGAAGAATGTTTAATAAGATAACTTTAGAGATTGAAGTCAACTCCTGCTCTTTAGGGATTTGATTTTTGTAAAACCTAAAAAAGGTTAGAGTAAACATGGGAGCCTAAATGCATGATTTATCTCTTTATACTTAAATCTCCACAGTCACAGTTAGTGTGGTAGCTTCACAGTTATTTGTTGTCTAGATTCCATTTGGTCACTCTGATCTCCAAGGGATTTTTTTTTTTGCCTTACCTCTATAGTTGGATCATATTCATCGACAAAGTGGTTCTGTATCAGCTGAATAGTTAGAGCACTCTTCCCAACGCCACCAGCTCCTACGACCACCAATTTGTATTCTGTCATCGTCCTGTTAATATAGCACCTGAAACTAAACAACAAGTAATAGCAGTAGCAAAACAGCATAGCCTTCCTCCCAAAAGTGTTAATCTAATCACTCATAACTGGCTAATGCAAACTTTGAAATTTTCTTTCAATTTCAGAAATATCAACCTTGATTCTTCTAAAGCAATTACTTGTGAGAGATTTTCAAAATATTGTAAAGCTATTCTCCAATAGCCAATTAGATACAAACTTCTAATCATTCAATTTTAAATTGAAATAGAAGATTCTAGAAACACTTGGCCCAGCATCTATGGAGAGAGTAAAAGTTGATTTTTATCAGAATTCTGTTAGACACAGTATTTCCAGCCATTTCTATTTTTACTTCACATTTTCAGCATCTGTTTTATCCTGCTTTTGTGTCAAGTTCAAGTTCATGTTCATTTACTTAGCGACCACCTACCCCCCAGCCCCTTTCAAGGGTAATTAGGGATAGGCAATAAATGTTGGTCTCGTCAGCGATGCCCATAGTCAAAGAAAGAAATAAAAACACTCGACTCTCTCGTTGATCAAAAATCTGTCTAAATTAGCATTGAATATATTCAATGAATTAACCTCCACTACTAAAGGAAAAGAATTCCAAAAACTAACAACCCTCCAATTAAGTTTCTCTCATTATGGGTGGAAAATTCCTTATTTTTGAAACCGTGCCTCCATTAGGGGACATCCTACTCTGTTAAGCTCCTCAGAATTAGATATGCTTCAATCAAACCACCTCTCATTCTGTTAAACAGAAGTTATAATTGACCCAACCTCCTCAACCCCTTCCCATAAAAATCAGCCAAGTGAACATTTTCTAAACTGCTTCCAATGCAAGTATATTCCTTAATAAGTAAGGAGACCAAAACTGCATACAATAATCCAGGTGCAGTCTCAGTCAATACTCTGTATGGTTGCAGTCTTCCCTAATTTTAGATTCCAGCCCTTGCAATAAAGGCCAAAGATTCCATTTGCCTTCCAGGCCAATTTACTGCACTGTCAAGCTTACTTTATAATTCATGTATGAAGATAAACAGATTCCTCTGTACCATAGCATTCTGCGATTGCTCTCAATTAAAATAACGTTCTGCTTTTCTGTTCTTCTGCTCTGGTCCAAGGTGGCGACAGAGTAGAACATTTTGGCCAGACCTCATCCGTTCCACTTGTTCTTTTTCTTCTTTTATCCTCTTTGTTTCTTCTTCTCTCCCAGCCTCCAACAACTTCCAGCCTCCGCACAGACATGGCAGTGGGTCCTCTTGGCCTGGTGTGCTGTCCTTCCAGCCTGGCATGGCCTCAGTGTGGACTGCCAGTCTCAAGGTGATTCCAGTGTGATCTCCCAGCTTCATGAGCTTCGAGGTGAAGCCTGGCGGTGTCTGGAACAAGGCCTGATGCAAACCGGAGGCCAGGTGCCAGTGTAGTCTGGATTGTAAGACCATTGTTCTGACATTTTATTTCTGCAATGCTGGCCTTTAATTGGTCTATTTTTCGAAGATCTTGTAACTGAAGAAGCTCTTCCTAGGTACCTTTGTACCTAAAATGGCACTGTAACTGGTGACTTATAAACTTCTCATTGTATTCATTTGAGTACGTGACAATAAAGCCAATTCAATTCAATTCTTCCTAGCAAAATGGAAGTGCTCACTTTTTCCTCCATGTGTTACTACATCTTTCAAATTTTTTCCCAGTCACTTCACCCATCAATATTACGTTGTAGATTTTTTGTACTCTCAATTTGCTTTCATACCCATCTTTCTACCATCAGCAAAATTTGCTGCAAATTTATGACACAACCTAGGTTGTAAGTGGATTTCGTTTTGGAGTACATATGCAAGTTGATTTATAAACTAGTTGGAACACAAATGTGGCATAATGTAAAGCTGCTGGTTGTGAAGTACAAGAAATATTCTTATGTCTGATCTTTAAATAGGCACTACTGTATGGGATCGTAGGTAGAAACATTCATTAGTACTAACATTCATAAGTCTGATGTTCATAAAATCAGGGATCATCCCTGTACACAGTCAGTCCCTTCATCGAAGTCTTTAATTTGTACCATAAAGAGTTGAGGCCCCAGTGCTGATCTGTGAGGCACTCTGCTAGTTACAGTCTGCCAACTTGAAAATGACCCATTGATCCCAATCCTGCTTCCTGTTGCCAATCCTCCATCTGTACTAGTATATTATTCCCAACACCATGAGCTCATATTGTGACCTTTTATGTGACATCTTGTTGAATGCCTTTTGGAAAGCCAAATATAGTATACTTACTGGTTCATCTTCACCAGTCCCTGCTTGTTACAGTCCCAAAGAACTCCAATAACTTAGCCAAACATGTTTGTTCTTCTTTTCACAAAACCATGATGATTCTGTCTAAATTGTATTATGATTTTTTTCAAGATACTGCAGCTAATTCCTAATGATGGATTCCAGCACTTACCCCACAGCTGACTAGCCTATCATTTCCTGCTTTCTTGAACACTATTTTTCAAATTTGCTGGGATCTTTCCAGAATCTAGGGAATTTGGAAGAAAACAAAAGTTTGAACCTGTCTCTGCCGCCAAATGTTTTAAGTCGCCAAGATCCAGAGAATTGGTCAGCATGTTTTCCCAGTATTCTCTCTCTCTCTAGTGATCTTGATTTTTTGCCTAGATCTTCTCATGTCTTCCACTTGTAAGGCTGATGTAAAATATTTGTTCAAAGTTTCTGCCATTTTCCCGCTTCCTATTACTAACTCCCCAGTTTCAACTTCTAAGGGATCAATGCTCACTTTAGCCAAGCTTTTGTTTCAAATTATTCAGCTTATAAACTGGTTCAAGGCAGAAATCAGTGGGTTTCTGGAGACTAATGACGTCAAGGGATATGGAGATAGTGTAGGGAGGGTTGCATTGAGGAGATGATCAGACATAATCTAGAATGGTGGGATACTGTTGTTGTGCTGAATGAGCTACTCTTGTTCCAATGCATCACTCCTTGGTTAGCCAGCCAAAATGGTCTTCAGTTCTTACCAAAGTTTTAAAACCAGGCAGTTGGACCTGGTAGTAGTTTGAAGTAAAGCCACAAAGTTAAGCCTAGCACTAAATAAAATGCCACAGCAGCAGAGAAAACAGGGTTTCTCAGCTCTGAATGGAGGCCGCAGAGGCACAATCCAGGCCAGATCTATCAATGCGTAATCAGTGTGCCAAAGATATAAACTCCACAATTAATTACATATAAACTCCACAAGATCAGTAGTGTACAGAGGTTCACATTAATAAAATGCGCATTTAGGATAAGCTGGAATGTTTTCAGACAAAATACAGAGATGAAATGTAGGAGAAGAACTAATTTGCAGAATTATGGACCTAAATTGAACAGTTGTTTCCAAAAGCCATCACAGTCAAGAGAGGCCTCTTGCACCAGCAAATTCTAAACTTCCTATTTAATAATGGGGAAAATAAGCATCTGAGATATTTAATAAAGAGATGGTGCCCCTGTTGGAGAACTTTTCTTTTTAAATTCTGTCATGGGATGTGGGTGTCCCTGGCTGGGCCAACACTTTTTGCACATTTCTAGTTACCCTTGAGAAGATGGTGGTGAGCTGCTTACTTAAATTGCTGTTGACCATGTGCCATGGTTCAATAATGCAGCTCACATCACTTTCTCAAAGGCAACTAAGAATGGGCATAAAATGCTGTAGGGTATTTCGCCAAAAAAAAAAGGGATTAAGGCCCTTAGAATAAACGGTCGAATTTCTTAACTATTTTCTCCATTCTTCTTTCAGCCAAAAGTTTTACATGGCAATTATGGTAGACTCATGTCCTTTTTAACTGGTAACTAAAAAGCATACAGAAGCAGCCACAGTGAAAGACTCACCAAAACCTACCTTCCAGTTTCAATTAGGTACTTAGATAGAAAGTTAACTCTGGTATCATCACTATCCCAAGGCAAAAAACAATTAACCCTCAAAGTGATACTAAAAGAATTGTTTTTGAAAAGGAAACAAATACATATGACAATTTTGCCTTCTCACACTCAATCTATTGTACAAGTGAAAGCCTGTTCCCCATCCAGCCAAACCCCATGTGTTGGTTAACATACAGATTAGGGCAGGACCACGCTGTTGTGCCCCTCAATCCTACACTGCCATTTGATAGGATTATGGCTGATCTGATTGTTGTCTCAATTTCACTTTTCTATCTACTCCAGATAACCATTACCAAGGGAGTCAACCAAGAATCTAGCCAACTTGCCTTAAAAATATTCAATAACCAAGCCTTCACTGCTCTCTGGTGAAGAGAATCCCACGGATTAGTGATCCTGAGGGAAGATATTTCTCATCACCGTCTTAAAAGCAAGACCTCATTTTTAAACTGCGTTACCTAGTTCTAGTGTCTCAAGGAGAAAGATCCCCTTCACCCCGTGCCCACCCTATTAAGCCCCCTCAGAATATGTTTTAAGGAGGTCACATCTCATTCTTAACTCCAATAAGTAAACATCACACATCCCATGAATTAGTCAAATGAACTTTATCAGAATTGCTCTTGAACTAACTATAATCTTATTTTTAAAAAAATAAGGAGACCAAAACTGCAACGTGTCCGGGTGTGGTCTCATCAATACCCTTATACCTGCAGGAAAACACCCCTAAATTTATATTCCAGTTCTCTTTCAATGAAGGACAATATTCCAATCACCTTCCAGGACTGACATACTAACTTTGGTGATTGGACACCCAGATCCCTCTGTACCAGTGTGCTGCAGCCTTTCCATTTAAATAATATGATGCTTTCTGTCCTACCTGCCAAAATTCATATTTTCCTGCATCTAACTTTCTGTCCACCTCTTAACCTATCCATATTTCTTTTCAGAATCCTTACGTCCTCTTCATAAATTTACCTCCCTACCTTTTTGTCATCAGCTACATTTACTGTATTTTCAGTCCCCTTATCCAAGTCATTTATAAGAAGTTTTAGTGAGGCCCCCATCCCAAAATGATCCATTGATGCCTAGT